TTATTTATTTTTGATTGTTTTTAGACTACTACGGAGTTCGTAGCGGTTGTTGAGTTGTGTGCTACCTAGAGTCACATTTCTGTGAGACAGGCGGCTCTTCAGGTAGTCCTCGGCTTACAACATTCGTTTAGTGACCGTTCTAAGTCACAACGGCAGTGGAAAAAATGTCACATGATGGTTTTTCACACTTATGACCATTGCACCATCCCTATAGTCACGTGATCAAAATGCCATTGCTTGGAATTCAGACGCTTGACAACTGGCATGTACTTCAGACGTAATTCAGACTCCTAGCAACTGATTCGTAATTATGACGGGGTCAGCAAAGTCAAGGGGGAAGCCAGATTCACTTAACAAACATGTGACCGACTTATGCACTGCAGTGGCTCACTTAATGACTGAGGCAAGAACAGTTGTAAAATGGGGCAAAGCTCGCTTAACCGATGTCTCACTTAACAACAGAAATTTGGGGCTCAGTTGTGGTTGCAAGTTGTATGTAATTTGCAAAAAGAGTCATATCCCCAATTTTGGGATTTTTAGAGTCGTTTTAGGTTAAAGTTTTCTTGGTCAGTTTGGGGCACACCATGCTAAAATAAGCAGGAAGGACCCCCCACCCCAAAATAAAGTTAGCACAACAAACTTTGTTACTGTTTGCTATGAAAGAATTTAGAGGAGTGTTTCGGGCTTGGTCGCTTTAAGAGCTGTGGAATTGCTGGCTGGCTGGGGAATTCTGGGAGTTGAAGTCCACAGGTCTTAAGGTGGGCACGTTTTACAGATTTACAGTTCCCACCAGATTGCAACAACCTAGAGGTTTCTAGTGGGAAATAAATACATTTAATTTCCAAAAACTGGTTCCTTGGTTTCCAGCCTTGATCACACACCTGGGATCTCTTAGTGGTCTCCCATCCAAATACTAAATACATCCAGCGCCATTGAGCCTTTTGTGGTTAGCCAAGATGTCAATATTGGCGCGTTCAAAGCAAGAGGTCCTGGCACCTTTCAGGTTGGGTACCGAAATTGGCAATGGTCAGTGTTGGACTCCAAGCTCCATGTGGCTCCTCCTGATTGCACAATTCTGAGAACTTAAACAGAACGTGCAAAAAACAGATAATCCTGCAGAGATCAGTAACTACCTACAAAATAAACACCTTCAAAAACATGTTGTCTGTCTGGGAAGGAAGAAAAGAAGGAAGAAAGGAAGGGGAAGGGAAAAGGAAGGAAGGAATGAAAAGGAAGGAAGGAGGAAAAGAAGAATAGAGTAGAGTAGAGTAGAGTAGAGTAGAGTAGAGTAGAGTAGAGTAGAGTAGAGTAGAGTAGAGTAGAATAGAATAGGAATAGGAATAGGAATAGGAATGGAATGGAATGGAATGGAATAGAATTGATAATGGAATAGGAATAGGAATAGGAATAGGAATAGGAATAGGGATGGAATACAGAATGGAATGGAATGGAATGGAATGGAATGGAATGGAATAGAATAGAATAGAATAGAATAGAATAGAATAGAATAGAATAGAATAGAATAGAATAGAATAGAATAGAATAGAATAGAATAGAATTCGTTTATTGGCCAAGTGAGATTGGACACACAAGGAATTTGTCTTGGTGCGTACGCTCTCAGTGTACATAAAAGAAAAGATACGTTCATCAAGAATCATAAGGTACAACACTTAATGATAGTCATAGGGTAGAAAAAGGAAAAGGAAGGAAGGAAGAGGAAAGGAGGGAGGAAGGGAGGGAGGGAGGAAGGAAAATGAAGGAAGGAAAGAAGGAAGGGAGGATGGAAAAAGGGAGAAAGAAAGAAAGAAAGAAAGAAAGAAAAAAAAGGAAGGAAGGAAGGAAGGAAAGAAAGAAAGAAAGAGAAAGAAGGAAGGAAGAAAGGAAGGAAAGAAAGAAAGAAAGAAAGAAAGAGAAAAAAGGAAGGAAGGAAGAAAGAAAGAAAGAAAGAAAGAAAGAAAGAAAGAAGGAAGGAAGGAAGGAAGGAAGGAAGGAAGGAAGGAAAGAAAGAAAGAAAGAAAGAAAGAAAGAAAGAAAGAAAGAAAGAAAGAAAGAAAGAAAGAAAGAAAAGGAAAATAATCTTAATGGGCCCTGGGACCAGCCAGATTTCAAATATTTGGAGCCCAACATCTACAACCCCTTTGCTGCCCCCTGAGCCTCCCTTACTTCTCTTTCAGTATTTGTGGTTGTGTTGGTGGCTGTGCTTTTTCACATCACCATGACAAAACACCTCAACACAGCCTCACAGCCTCCCTCGTGCCACTCTGCATTTCAGGCACGTCGGTCGTGATTGTGACTTTCTCCCAAACCCCCCAAAAAGGGCCCACAAACACCCCCCCACACACAGAGAGAGGACTGCCTGGACTTTCCCCAATGGCAAATATGACCCGTGCCAACCCAGGATTTTTTCGTGTTGACACACAACTGCCCCGGCCATGCCAAAGCGGGCGTGGCACATCCTCATACAACACGGATAAATAACACCCACACAACACACCGCAAAAGCAGATGCCAGCAGGAAGCCTGGCATCTTGCAAACAACAGACACAGGTTGGGGTTTTCATTCCTCGGATGACCCCCAGGCCCGGAATCTGGCATTGTGGGAAAAGGGATCCCAAGAGATCATCCGGGAAGCCTGTACCACTGGGTAATCTGTTTTCCTCTCCCAGCAGTAAGAAGAGCTCAGGGAAACAACAATTGTGTTAATTGTCTTATGGGAAGTCAATGGGAGTGGCTAGGTTAGTGTTTCTCAACCTTGGAAGCTTGAAGATGGGTGGACTTCAACTCCCAGAATCCCCCAGCCAGCAGCGCTGGCTGGGGGATTCTGGGAGTTGAAGTCCACCCATCTTCAAGCTTCCAAGGTTGAGAAACACTGGGGTACATGGACCGGAACTCAGCTCCGGTCAACAAGGAATCACATTGGTGCTAGTCCTCTTGATCTACATTTTCCGATTCACGCACCGGTAATCCTTGACTTCCGACCATATTTGAGACTTGGGATTTCCAGTGGTTGTTAAGTGATTGTACGACCTTTTCGGTCCCAATTAGTAAATTTAATTTAATTTAATTTAATTTCCAATTTATATACCGTCCTTCTCCCTGAGGACTCAGGGCGGTGTACAGCCAAAATAAGAACACCGAATACAAATATTAAAAAACAGTTTAAAATATATATATAAATTTGGCCCAGAATTTAAGAAATCACAAACCGATTAAAAGAATTTAAAAAATTTCTTCTTAAACCAATGAATCACTGCGGTCGTTTAAATCAATCACACGGTCGTTAAGCAAATCCAGCCATATGGGAAGGGCCATCCTATGACCCTCCGGGATGCTGCAAGCATCAGAAATACACGATGGGATGCCAATCGCCTGAATTTTGATTACGTAACCATGGGGATGCTGCCACGGTCGCAAGTGAGAGGACTGGTAGTATGTCCCTTTGTACCGCCGTCGTAACTTTGAACTAAACGGGTGTTAAGTTGAAGATTACCTGTACTGTATACATCCAGGGGTGAGTTTGCACGGATGAGCTCCACCATGGTGCTCCAAAGGTCTAATGATTTGGCTCTTCCTGGTTTTCACCCAGGATGCTACATCGTGGTTTGCTGAAACATGGCTTGCAAATAAACCAGGATTTCCGAACTGTAAGGAAGTTACACCCCAAGGGTTGAAGCCAACGATGGGCAATGCCATCCCAGCTGAATGGGAGGAGATGGTTTCCCCGTTCTGAGTTTAGCCTGTTGACGGCTTCCCACCTTCCATTCCTTGCAGGTATACTGCTGTTAAACATGGAGGCTCAATCTTTAGACAACACGGTGAGTCTAACGCTGGCAGGCCTGGCCTTCGCTTGGATGACCATTCTAAACCAACTCTCTAGCGCAGAGGTCTTCAAACTTGGCAGCTTTAAGACTTGTGGACTTCAACTCCCAGAATTCTCCTATGCTGGCTGGAGAATTCTGGGAGTTGAAGTCCACAAGTCTTAAAGCTGCCAAGTTTGAAGACCTCTGCGTCTAGCAAGACAAAGCTTTAGGCAAGACACGTGGCATAGAAATCAAATAAATATATGATAAACAAATAAATAATATAAGCGTTTTACCACGTACAAGAAGTCCTGGACTTACGACCACAAATGGAGCCCCCAAATGTCTATTGCTAAGCGAGACAGTTGAGTTTTGCCTCATTTTACAGCCTTTCTCGCCACAGTCGTTAAGGCAGTCACTGCAGCTGTTAAGGCAGTCAGACGGTTGTTAAGTGAATCTGCTCGTCAGAAGGTCACAAAAGGGGATCGCAATGCAACCGTCATAAAGGTGAGTCGATGGCCAAGCATCCTTATTTTGATCACGTGACCGCAGGGATGCTGCAACGGTCGTAAGTGTGAACAAACGCTTACGTAAGTCACTTTTTTTCCGGTGCCTTTGTGATTTTTAAACCGTCACTAAATGAGCTGCTGTAAGTCGAGGACTACCTGTAAAAAGGTTTGGTAAGATCCAGGAGTGAAGCTAAATCCAGGAATTTTGCTGTTAGAAGCAACAGAAAACCTCACAGGTAGTCTCTGAAGGCTATCAATCAATCAAAGAGAGTAGAGCTGGAAGGGACCTTGGAGGTCATCTAGTCCAGCCCCCTGCTCAAACAGGAGACCAGTGATGGCGAACCTTTTTGCCATCGTGTGTCAGGAAGGGGTGGGTGGGGGAGGTTTGCGTGCATGTGTGGCCACACCCATAATTCTATGTGCCCCACCCCGCGCATGCGACCCCTGCTCCTGGCACGCGATGGCCCAGTAGTCCCGTTTTTCTTTCTCACCCGGCTCCAGATCCTCTCTATGCATCTGGGGAGGGCGAAAACAGCCTTCCCCACCGCCTCGGAGGTCCTCCGGAGGCCCGAACGGGCCCGTTTTCCAACTTTCAGTTAGACAGGAAGTGACTTTTTTGCTGTCCCCAGCCTCCAGAGTCTCCTAGAGAGGCTGAGAGCTGAGCCATAAGTCTCTCCCTCCCACCCCAGATCCGAACGGAGCTGGAAATGCAGATGGCGTGCAACCTGCGCGAATTTAAGGAATTCATCGATAACGAAATGATCGTCATTCTGGGCCAGATGGACAGCCCCACCCAGATCTTTGACCACGTCTTTCTGGTGAGACTTTCCTGCCGCAGAACGGAACAGCCTTCTTTGCTCACCCTTCGGGCTTTCAATCTCACACGGATTTATTTTTTTTTTAATTTGATTTATATGCCGCCCTTCTCCAGAGACTCAGGGCGGCTTACAATGCGCTAAGCAATAGCTTTCATCCTTTTGTATATTTATACAAAGTCATCTTATTGCCCCCACAATCCGGGTCCTCATTTTACCTACCTTAGAAAGGATGGAAGGCTGAGTCAACCTTGAGCCTGGCGAGATTCGAACCTGCAGTAATTGCAGGCAGCTGGTCTTAATAACAGGGTGCTATAGACCACTGTACTACCAAGGCTCCTCACTTCCGGTCCACTAGTGACTAGTGAAACTTTGCTTCCAAAGTCTTGAGTAAATTCCCCAAAAATAGATTCATGGGTTGTGATCCTGCATGCAAGTGGGGTAGAATGGACAGGACAGTTTTGGTAGAATTGTACAGCTTGCATAAGGGCAGTGGTGAAATCCTGCCGGTTCTGTCCGGCTCGTGCGAACTGGTAGCACCGGCAGCACGTGGTTTGGCGAACTGGTAGCGGCGGCAGCACAGATGTCATTACTTCCTGGTTTTAATCCTCTGCGCACGCTCAGAAGTCAAAAATAGGACGTGACGACGGCCCATACGCGAGCGAGCACGCATGGCGCAGGCACTTCCGAACCAGTAGGGAAGTTAAGTAGATTTCATCCCTGCATCAGGGGTGTCCACTTTAAGATCTGTGGACTTCAGTTCCCAGAATTCCTCAGCCAGCGGACTTTAAGAGGGGTGGACTTCCACTCCCAGAATTCCCCAGCTACCATGCTTTGTGGATTTCAATTCCCAGAATTCCCCAGCCAGCCATGCTTTAAGGCCTGTGGACTTCAACTCCCAGAATTCCCCAGCCAGCCATGCTTTAAGACCTGTGGACTTCAATTCCCAGAATTCCCTAGCCAGCCATGCTGGCTGGGGAATTCTGGGAGTTGAAGTCCACAACTCTCAAAGTAGCCAAGGTTGAACACTCCTGTCTTAGACCAATCTTTCTAAACCTCAGGGACTTTAAAACACGTGGACTTCAACTCCCAGAATTCCTTGCGGACTGGGGAATCCTGGGACTTAAAAGTCCACACCTGTCAAAACTGCTAAAGTTAAGAAAGGTTGGGTTTACGCAGTATCTTAGACCAATCGGAAGACGACAACGGTCAAAGGTTCTCAGCCAGCGGTTTTGAATATTTCTTGCACCCGATATCGCCATATTTGGCATTTTTTTAAATTATTATTCCTATTATTACTTGCATGGCCAGAGGTGCTCTCGGCTGATGTGAGAACTGTTGTGTTTTGCTTTCTCTCCTGCAGGGTTCGGAGTGGAACGCCTCAAATCTGGAAGACTTGCAAACGAGAGGGTGAGTTGGCCGCCCAAATTGTCCTCGCAAAACGCACAAATTTGGGCCTTTTTTTACATATGCTTTTCCTTCTCTCTGCCCTCCCCCCACATATTACGAACACTGAGTAGCCACTACCAACTCCCAAAGCTCTTTTTTTTTCTATATTCATAATCTATTTACGGCAGAGACGGACCAGGGCTTATCTTATCCTTGACTGTTGCCAAACTCCCTGCAGGAAAATTTCACAGGCTGTGAAAAACTAGGTTAAGCAAAACTGTGAAAAGTGCGATGGACACATTTGTGATATTTGCAGAGTGGTACGGCACAGATAATTTGCAAACGTGCGTCTCCGTTGGAGGCACTTTGTCCTCAGCCCTCCCTGTAGCAAAAGGGGGAACAAGGCCAGAAGGCTGGGGTTTTTTTGTTTCTTTTATTTATTTCCTTGCTTGCTTGCTTATTTATATGTTTATGTGTTTATTTTGGAGTATCAGGTCCAATAATTCTTCTCCCCAGGAGCTTATTATCTTAATATATTAGCTTAAATAATATTAATATATATTATATATTATATATTATATATTATTATTAATATATTAATATATTATTATTAATATATTAGCTTAAATATATGTATTAAATATTACTAGAAGACTAATCTGGTTGTCTGAGAAGAATCTTCATTTTTTTTAATTGATTCGTACCCTACCTTTTTTATTCTTTCTTTTTATACAAATAACGCAAGGTGCAGCGAACAGATCCGACATATTTTCCTCCTCCTCTTTTCTCCCCAACAACAACCCTGTGAGGCCGGGCTGAGAGAAAGGGACTGGCTCAAAGTCACCTAACTGGCTTTCATGGCTAAGGCAGGACTAGAACTCACTGTCTCCTGGTGATTGCTCCAAAGTCACCCAGCAGGCTTTCATGCCTAAAGTGGGACTAGAAGTCACCGTCTCCCGGTGATTGGCCCAAAGTCACCCAGCCAGCTTACTTTCCTAAAACAGGACTAGAACTCACCGTCTCCTGGTGATTTGCTTTTACCATGGCAAAAAATGTCATAAATGTAACTCTGGCTCACTCAATAACTGCCTTGGTTAGCAATGGAAATTCTGCTCTGAATTGTGATTGTAAATTGAGGATTATTCGTTTGGTCTAGTGATTAAGGAAGGCACCAGGCTAGAAAGCAGGAGATCGGGAGTTCTAGTCCTATCTAAGCCATGAACGCCAGTTAGGTGGCAGTGAGCCGGCCCCTCTCTCTCAGCCCAACCTACCTCACAGGATGGTTGTTGTGGGAAAAAGAGGAGGAAGGTGTGTTGGATATGTTCGTAAGGGGTTTTCCTGCCTGGGCAGGGGGTTGGACTAGAAGACCTCCAAGGTCCCTTCCAAGTCATTCTATTCTATTCTATTCTATTCTATTCTATTCTATTCTATTCTATTCTATTCTATTCTATTCTTTATCCTAATTCTAATTTAATTCTATTCTATTCTTTATCCTAATTTTATTCTGTTCTATTATTTTCTATTCTATTCTATTCTTTATCCTAATTTTATTCTGTTCTATTATTTTCTATTCTATTCTGTTCTTGTTTAAACAATAAAGGTGGGATATAAACAAACAAACAAACGATACCACCACTCCAATTTCCCTGCAGGGTGCGTTATATTCTGAACGTCACGCGTGAGATTGATAATTTCTTCCCGGGAGTTTTCGAATACCACAATATCCGAGTTTACGACGAAGAAGCGACGGATTTGCTGGCTTACTGGAACGACACCTACAAATTCATCTCCAAAGCAAAGTGAGTCCCTTTTGCTCGCTTCCTTTTGGGTCTGCAAGTCGTTCGACCTCTCGTGTTTGCCTTAATTTATTTTGGCAGCGTAGAATATTTCAAGAAAAAAGGGACGGAGCCACTCCCAGAATGCCTGAGCCGTGCTGGCTGGCTGAGGAATTCTGGGAGTTGAAGTCCACAGGTCGCCAAGTTGCCTGTAGTTGCCCAACCCTGTTAAAGAGCCTGGTGAACTTAAAACCACAGCAAATGGCTCTCTATATGAAATTAGCATTAACTTGTGATTAGGAGCAGGAGGAGGAAATTGCAAAGTTCTTCTAAGAACCTTGCCGGCTTAAAGGGGGTTAAGAGAAGCCCTCCGATTTAGTGCCCCAAGGCTTGGAGGGCTGATCCCTCCCTTTTGGGAAATACGGCTCTGCTATTGAAGGCTGTATGTGCAATAAGTTGGTAGATTTCAGTCCTGCTTTTCTTCTTAGAAGGGGGAGGGGGGGAGTGTCCCAAGAATGTGGTCCAAATTGCAAAATAGATGGATAGACAGATGGACAAATGAGGTCAGGTAGGTAGGTAAGTGGATGGATGGATGGATGGATGGATGGATGGATGGATGGATGGATGGATGGATAGATAGATAGATAGATATAGATGATTGATAGGTAGGTAGGTAGATGGATGGATGGATGGATGGATGATAGGTAGTCAGATAGATAGATAGATAGATAGATAGATAGATAGATAGATAGATAGATAGATAGATAGATATAGATGATTGGTAGGTAGGTGGATGGATGGATGATAGGTAGATAGATATATATGATTGGTAGGTAGGTGGATGGATGGATGGATGGATGGATGGATGGATGGATCGGTGGATGATAGGTAGATAGGTAGATAGATAGATAGATAGATAGATAGATAGATAGATGTAGATGATTGATAGGTAGGTAGGTAGATGGATGGATGACAGATAGATAGATAGATAGATAGATAGACAGACAGACAGACAGACAGACAGACAGACAGACAGACAGATAGATAGATAGATAGATAGATAGATATAGATGATTGATTGATTGATAGGTAGGTAGGTAGGTGGATGGATGGATGGATGGATGATAAGTAGATAGATAGGTAGATAGATAGGAAGGTCGATATAGATGATTGATAGGTAGATAGACAGATGATAGATAGATAGATAGATAGATAGATAGATAGATAGATAGATAGATAGATAAGATAGATAGATAGATAATAGATAGATAGATAGATAGATAGATAGATAGAGATGATTGATAGGTAGGTAGGTAGGTGGATGGATGGATGGATGATAGATAGATAGGTAGATATAGATGATTGATAGGTAGGTAGGTAGGTAGGTAGATAGACAGATAGAAGATAGGTAGACAGACAGAGATAGATAGAGAGAGAGAGAAGAGAGAGAGAGAGAGAGAGAGAGAGAAGAGAGAGAGAGAGAGATGATTGATAGGTAGGTAGGTGGATGGATGATAGATAGATAGGAAGGTCGATATAGATGATTGATAGGTAGATAGACAGATGATAGATAGATAGATAGATAGATAGATAGATAGATAGATAGATAGATAGATAGATAGATAGGCAGACAGACATAGATGATTGATAGGTAGGTAGGTAGACAGACAGACAGACACAGACAAATATAGACATAGATGGTAGATAAAAACATACAGACAGTCAGAAAGATATAGACATAGATGGTAGATAGACAGACAGACAGACAGACAGACAGACAGATAGATAGTAGATACATACTATAGAGATAGAGGCAGACAGCTAGAGATTGCAGATAGGTTCTGTAGAAAGAGATAGGCAGACAGATGATAGATAATGGTAGACAAATTATAGATAGCTGATACATAAAAAAATAGATGACAGAGAGAGAGACAGACAGAGAGATGGATGGATGGATGGATGGATGATAAATGGACAGATGTTTGGGCAGGTGGATGGACGGACGGACGGGCAAAACCTTCCCTGCTTGTGAACATGAGGCAGCGCAAGGGACGGGGAGGGTGGGGTCACCACCGTCTGGGGCTGGGGACCCCTCTTCTCTTTCCTCCCTCCTGCAACTTTCCGCCTGCCGATCCCCTCCTAGGAAGAACGGCTCCAAGTGCCTAGTCCACTGCAAGATGGGGGTCAGCCGGTCGGCCTCCACCGTGATCGCCTACGCCATGAAGGAGTACGGCTGGAACCTCGACCGGGCCTACGACTACGTGAAGGAGCGCCGCAGTGTCACCAAGCCCAACCCCAGCTTCATGCGCCAGCTGGAAGAATACCAGGGCATCCTCCTGGCCAGGTGGGTCCAGGCTGCTGACCACTGGGGGCCTGGGGACTCCCCTGTTCATTTAGTGACCGTTCTAAGTTTACAACTGCACTGAAAAAAGGGACCGTGTTTCACACTTACGACCGTTGCGGCATCCCCGCAGTCCCGTGATCAAAATTGAGACGCTCGGCCACTGACTTATAACGGTCACAACATTCCCAGGATCCCCTTTTGCAAGCAAAGTCATATGAGGGAAGCCAGATTCACTTAACAACTGTCGTAAAATGGGGCAAAGCTTACTTACTGACTGTCTCGCTCAGCTCCATTGTAGCTCCATTGCGGTCCCTAAATTGAGGACTGCCTGTAACCCCTAGGTCCTGGCAGCTGACTCGTATTTATGACAGTCCCAGTGTCCTGCGATCCCCTTTTGTGACCTCCTGACAAGCAAAGCCAACGCGGGAAACCAGATTTACTTAACGACTGTGTTGCTAAGTGAACCACTGCAGTGGTTCACTTAACGACTGACCAGAAAGGAGGCAAAACTCTTTTAAGAACTGTCTTAAATGAATAAGCAATAGAATTTTGGGGTTCAGTTGTGGTCGTAAGTAGAGGACGACCTGTATAGCGTCGTCCTCAAGCATGGGGCTGGACTAGAAGACCTCCCAAGGTCCCTTCCCTTCTGTTATTCTGTTGTTCTTCTGCTATTTCTCATGTAAACCCCCCTCAGGCTTGTGTTTGCAACAGGAGCCGCAATCTTTGGCAACCTGTTTTGTGTTTTCGGTGACACGAATCCCCGTTTCCAAGCCACGTGGCTGTCAGATGCCTGGGGCTTGAATTTCAGGGGGTTTCGAAAGTGTGTTTTGAAGCAACAACTGGCCAGAAACGAGACCGAAGGGAAGGAATTTGAAACGGGCAAGAGATGGACTGGCTCCCATCACAAGGCTTGCTCTTCTGCCCCAGCTCCGCATTCCCAAGGATTGTGACACACACACCAACGGTCCTTATCAAAGTTATAACGTACCAAGAATCAACAAAGTCCGGCAAAGGTTGGCAACCAGCCCAGACAACAAGATACGATAAGACACTCACTCTCCAAAATGCTCTGTAATAATTATACGTTGTTTCCAGCAAGAAATTACTAACTGTGTGCGACTTAAACAGGCCAATTATCCTCAAGCCTTACTCTCGAGGAGACCTCCTCCTCCTGAGTAGCCACTCCTGCCTTCTGGCAGCCCTGTGTGCTCGAGCATTGAGGAGAGGCTCCTCCACTTCGCTCTCTCCACTTGAAGGAGCCTCTGGAGGTTCTGAAGGCCCAGGCTGAGTCTCTGCCTCTGGCACCACATCCTCTTCAGCCTCCTCGCTGTCTGACGCGAGCCTTGGCTGCGCCGGCTGCTGGCGCAACCCCACACCAGCCTCCTCGTCGTCGGGATCAGCCACGATCCGCGCAGGCTGCCGGTGGGCCACAACACTTGCTGTTTGGCCAACCTCAGTCCGGCCGCCGTGATGGACGGTGAGAAAGCACCTTTCAGAGTACAGAACTGGAGGAGACCTTAGAGGCCTTCCAGTCCACCCCGCTGCCCAAACATCGACACCCGTGATGCCGAATGTACGGCACACATGCGGGCACGCGAGCTGACACCCCAGCTCAGCTCCACCGCATATGCGTGCACTCTTCCAGCCGGCCAGCTGGTTTTCGGGTCTCTGCCACGCCTGCGTGGGGGGCAGGGGGCATGTGGGAGATGCACACAGAGGGGGGGTCGCATCTGCATTGCATTATGGTCCAGAATGCGGCTGCGCGGGTTCTTACGGGAGCTCCCTTTTACTCCCGCATAACACCTCTCCTACGCGAGCTGCGCTAGTTACCAGTGGTCCTCCGGATCCGCTTCAAGGTGCTGGTACTTACCTTTAAAGTCCTACATGACTTAGGTCCAGGGTATTTGCAGGACCATCTCCTACACGTGTCCCACCGTCCTGTCCGCTCACACAGGGCTGCCCTCCTCAGGGTACCATCGGCTGGCGACGTCCAGGGGTAGAGCGTTCTCTGTGGGCGCTCCTGCCCTCTGGAACGAGTTACCCACCGAGCTCCGGACGGCGCCTGATCTCCGCTCCTTCCGTCGGGGCCTAAAGACTTGGCTGTTTCAACAAATCAGTTGATTCTGATTCTTGGGTTTTTATTATTTATTTGTCTCTGTTTTAATTGGTTTTAATTAGGATTTTTCTTTATTGTTGTATGTTTTTTAACTTGTGTTCGCCGCCCTGAGTCCTTTGGGAGAAGGGCGGCATATAAATATTTGTAAATTTATTTATTTATTTTATTTATTTATTTATTTTTAAATTTTTATACCGCCCCCCTCTCCCGAAGGACTCGGGAGTGGTGAACAGCCAAAATTAAAAAAACATACAATATAAACATTAAAATACTATAAAACAAAATTAAATTTATCTTTGGCTTCCCCCAATTTAAAACCCCTTACCCATAAAATTCACCAATTAAAAATGTTTAACCCAATTAAATTAATTAATTAAATTAGTTTAAGTAAATTTCTCCTCATTTCCAGGTTGAATCTCTCCTTGATCAGTTTCCATCCATTATTTCTTGTCTGGCCTTCAGGTGCTTTGGAAAAATAGCCTGACCCCCTTCCTCCTCTCTGGGGCAGCCCCTCAAATATTGATATCCTGTCTCCCCTGGTCCTTCTCTTCCCTAGACCAGCCATGTCTTCTGTCCATCTATGGTTCATTCAGATGTCTTTCTTTTTCTTTCTTTCTTTCTTTCTTTCTTTCTTTCTTTCTTTCTTTCTTTCTTTCTTTCTTTCTTTCTTTCTTTCTCCCTCTCTCTTTCTTTCCCTCCCTTCCACCTTCCTTCCCTCCCTCCCTTCCTTCCTCCCTCCTTCCTTCCTTCCTTCCTTTTGCTTTGGAAAAATAGCCTGACCCCCTTCCTCCTCTCTGGGGCAGCCCCTCAAATATTGGAAGATGCTCTCCTGTCTCCCCTGGTCCTTCTCTTCCCTAGACCAGCCATGTCTTCTGTCCATCTATGGTTCATTCAGATGTCTTTCTTTCTTTCTTTCTTTCTTTCTTTCTTTCTTTCTTTCTTTCTTCTTCTTTCTTTCTTTCTCTTCTCTCTTTCTTTCCCTCCCTTCCACCTTCCTTCCCTTCCCTCCCTCCCTCCTTCCTTCCTTCCTTCCTTTTGCTTTGGAGAATAGCTGGACCCCCTTCCTCCTCTCTGGGGCAGCCCCTCAAATATTGGAAGATGCTCTCCTGTCTCCCCTGGTCCTTCTCTTCCCTAGACTAGCCATGTCTTCTGTCCATCTATGGTTCATTCAGATGTTTTTCTTTCTTTCTTTCTTTCTTTCTTTCTTTCTTTCTTTCTTTCTTTCTTTCTTTCTTTCTTTCTCTCTCTCTCTCTTTCTTTCCCTCCCTTCCACCTTCCTTCCCTCCCTCCTTCCCTCCCTCCCTCCTTCCTTCCTTCCTTCCTTTTGCTTTGGGAGAATAGCTTGACCCCCTTCCTCCTCTCTGGGGCAGCCCCTCAAATATTGGAAGATGCTCTCCTGTCTCCCCTGGTCCTTCTCTTCCCTAGACCAGCCAGGCCCAGTTCCTACAAGCGTTCATTGTATCTTTTAACCTCCAGTCCCCTCATCATCCTGGTTGCTCTTCTCTGCACTCTTTCTAGAGTCTCCACATCCTATTTTTACATCGTGGTGACCAAAACTGGATGCAGGATTCCAAGTGTGGCCTTCCCAAGGTCTTACAAAGAATGAGAGGTGCCCCAGGTGTGGAGGCGCTCACATTTTCGATTCTGGGCGAACCGGTTGTTAAAATGATGTGAAAGGCCACCTTTGGCCATCTTGCTGACTCGAGTGACCCTTCCCCTGGTCATGGCTGGTGGCCGCAGGAGATTACATGGATTTGTTTTTCTCGCACCGTTCCTGGGAACAGATGGCCAAATAGGACCGGCAGCTGACCGGTGGCCAGAGCGTGTGACCGGGACGGAGTGCCCGCTAAAGGGACAAACAACCTCTGGGTCTCTAATACCCCATGTAACCTGATCCCTTGAGGCTTCGGATGTTGATCCTGACCGGATCACGTCGGTCGTGTTTTTCTCCTTCGCCTCTCCTTGCTCAAGTCTCCAAAAAGCTTGCCTAATATTTCTTCTCCCTCCATGTCTCAGTCAGACATGTATAGGAAGTCCTCGTCTTACGACCGCAATTGAGCCCCCAATTTATGTTGCTAAGCGAGACAGTTGTTAAGTGAGTTTTGCCCCCATTCTGCGGTCTTTCTTACCACCGTTGCTGTGACTCCCTACAGTTAGTAACACAGTTGTTAAGCGAATCTCGTTAACTTTGCTCATCAGAGGGTCATAAAATGAGGTCACATAACCGCAGTATATTTCTAGCGTCATAAATACAGGTAGTCCTTGACTTATGAGCCCCATAAGTCTTTGAGATGGGGGACTTATGGGGGAATTTGGGGTCCTTGAGCCCCAAATTTCTGTTGGTCAGCGAAATATTTGTTAGGTGAGTTTTGCCCCATGTTACGACTTTTCTTTCCACGGTTGTTAAGCGAATTATTGCGGCTGTTAAGTTAGTAACCTGGTTGTTAAGGGAATCTGGCTTCCCCGTTGACTTTGCTCGTCAGAAGGTCACAAAAAGGGATCACATGACCACCACCCCCCCGGGACACTCCAACCGTCGTAAGTCCATAAGTCCCTTTGTTCAGTGCCATTGTAACTGTGAATGGTCCCTAAACGAATTGTTGTAAATCGAGGATTACCTTTCTATGCTAGTTGCCAAATGATGGGAATTTGGACCGTGTGACTGTGGGGATGTTGCACGCGTCATAAGTGCGAACAACGCTGCAAAGCGTTGGATCCGATTTAAATCAAGTCGATTTAAATCACTGGTAAAAAGGCTTGATTTAAAATCAACTTGATTTAAATCAGAGGTGACAGTTGCTCTTTAAAAATTACGATTTACATCAACTCGATTTAAATCATAATTTTTTTAAAGAGCAACTGTCATCTCCTCCTCTGACCCGCTGTTTACCCAAAATGTAAATATCGCAGAATCTACAGCCTCATGCTATATAACTAATCTCCACTTCGTGCTAAATAAACTAAATTATTAATGTATCTTAAATAGAAAACTATCTTTAGGTAGATTTTTTTTTTACTCCAAAAGCATTTTATTAAAATAAATTTGATAAAAATAAAAAAAAAATCCGATTTAAGTAAAAAGAATCTGATTTTTTTTTTAAAAAAAAACATCAATTTTTATCCACCCTAGTACAAAGTCATTTTTTGCAGTGCTGTCATAACTTCAAACAGTCCCTAAAGAAATTGAGCACTAAAAGGTCAAGGTTCCCCTCGCATATACGTGCTAGTCGTTCCCGACTCTAGGGGGCGGTGCTCATCTCCGTTTCAAAGCCGAAGAGCCAGCGCTGTCCGAAGACGTCTCCGTGGTCATGTGGCTGGCATGATTCAATGCCAAAGGCGCACAGAACGCTGTTCCCTTCCCACCAAAGGTGGTCCCTATTTTTCTACTTGCATTTTTTATGTGCTTTCGAATTTGCTAGGTCGGCAGAAGCTGGGACAAGTCACGGGAGCTCACCCCGTTACACAGCGGCACTAGGGATTCGAACCGCTGAACTGCTGACCTTTCGATCGACAAGCTCAGCGTCTTAGCCACTGAGCCACCACGTCCCGTCAAGTTTTATTTATTTATTTATTTTATTTTATTAAATTTCTATACCGCCCTTCTCCCGAAGGACTCAGGGCGGTGAACAGCCACGAGATAAAACACATAAATACAAAAAAAAATTAAAATGAATTAAAAATGAATTAAATAATTTGGCTGAATTTAAAATACCCCATAATTTAAAACAAATTAAAATTTACATTTAAAAAAGGGGAGAAGATTTAGGCCAGGCCAGCTTGATGGAATAGGAAAGTCTTAAGCGCGCGACGGAAGGTGCGCAGATCCGGGATCCTCCGTATCTCCGGGGGGAGCTCGTTCCAGATCGTAGTTGAGCATTACCTGTGTGTAAAATAAATAAATTTTTAAAAACTCCTTTCATTTTCTCCCTCTCTCTCTCTCTCTCTCTCTCTCTCTCTCCCTCCCTCTCTTTCTTTCTCCCTCCACAGCAAGCAACGTCACAACAAGCTCTGGCGGTCGCACTCCGACAGCGACCTCTCGGACCACCACGAGCCCATCGGCAAGTCGGGCATGGAGGTCAGCAAAAAGGAAATCACCACCTCGGCCGACCGTATCTCCGACAACAAGTCTTCCAGCAGCCTGGTGGCCGTGCCCGTGGGGATCGCCGCCAGCCCCCACGGAGCCTTGCTGTGCCATTTGGGCTCCGGCCCTTTGGCGAACCATCCGGGCAAAGAGCGAGTGATCCAGCTGCAAATTGCGCCCCGAGACTTCGACGCCGAGCAGATGGAAGATCAGCTGAATTTGAACAATCTCAACGGGTGCCCGTCCGGCTGCTGTCCGGCGGAGTCCGAATCGCCCCTCGACAACTGCAATCCATCCGAGACCTTACTTCAGCAAGGGGGTACTTTGAAAGCGGCCGGCGGGTTTCCGGATTTGGCGGTGTCCGATTTGGAAAACGACGCCCTCAAGCCCGGCGACGGGAACGTCCACCTGGTGCCCATGGAAGAGTTGGAGTCCTGCTTGCGAGAGACGCCCAGCCCGCCCGCCAACCTTTCTCAACCGGAGGAGGTGGAGGAAGAGGAGGAGGAAGAAGAGGAGGAGGAAGAGGAGGAGGAGGAGGAAGAAGCCACCGCCGGAGACTTCGGCACGGATCGGATCGACTTCTTCAGCGCTTTGGAGAAGTTTGTGGAGCTCTCGCAGGAGAAGAGGCCGCGGGCATCGTCCAGGGCAGAAGAGCTGGGCAACGGGCGGAATGGGACACCCCGGGTCTCGGGCTTGGAGCTCCTGCCTTGTGATCCCGCCGAGCAGGGCCAGCGAAGTGCCTCTGCGGGCAGCTCCCCGCAGGCCTCGGAGGCCTCGTCTCTGGAGGAGGAGCAGCTGAAGGTATCTAAGGCGAAGGGGAAGGCGTTGGGGTGGCCCCCCATCACTCCTAGGACCTTCTCAAGCAGAGGTCTCTAAACATGGCCACTTTGAGACTTGTGGACTTCAACTCCCAGAATTCCCCAGCTGGGATGGCCTAAGTCTTAAAGTGGCCAAGTTTGGAGGACTCCGATTTAAAGTGATAATTGGGGGGCGGGGGGGGTTGTCCAGGAAGGCAGTCTTCTCTGTCATTACCCCCACCCTGTGAAATCTCCTCCTCCTGATGGACCTCCACTCTCTTTTATCTTCCGTAAAGGTATAAAAACGGGCCTTTGCGCCCTTGGGAGCCCAAAGGAGAAGTCAGTGTTTAATCATCCTTGCCATGTTTTAAAACTTTAACTTTTATATTGATATATTTTATTGTTTCTATTGTACACCAACCACTCAGAGCCCCTATCAGAGGAAAATGGGCGGTTGAAAAATTAGATAGATAGATAGATAGATAGATAGATAGATAGATAGATAGATATGGATGGATGGATGGATGGATGGATGGATGGATGGATGGATGATGGATGGATAGAAGACAGATGGGTAGGTAGGTAGGTAGACAGACAGACAGGCAGACAGAACATAGATGGATAGGTGGATGGATGGATGGATGGATGGATGGATGGATGGATGGATAGATAGATAGATAGACAGAATATAGATGGATAGATGGATGGATGGATGGATGGATAGAAGATAGATGGATAGGTAGGTAGGTAGATAGATAGATAGACAGACAGAATATAGATGGATAGATAGATAGATGGATGGATGGATGGATAAATAGATGGATAGATAGATAGATAGAAAGAATATAGATGGATAGATAGGTGGATGGATAGATAGATAGATTGGATAGATAGATAGATAGATAGATAGATAGATAGATAGATAGATAGATAGATAGATAGATAGACAGACAGACAGACAGACAGACAGACAGACAGACAGACAGACAGACAGACAGACAGAATATAGATGGATAGATGGATGGATGGATAGAAGATAGATGGATAGGTAGGTAGGTAGGTAGGTAGGTAGGTAGATAGATAGATAGATAGATAGATAGATAGATAGATAGATAGATAGATATAGACAGATGGATAGAGATGGATGGATGGATGGATAAATGGTAGAGATAGACAGACATAGGAAGGAAGGAAGGAAGGAAAAGAGAAAGAATTATCCCTGACTGAAGTACTATCCCTTCCCCTTTTATACCAGAGAACCCCAACACAGCTTCTCCTCTTCCTCCTGGTGGTGATATCTTCACAAATTGCAGCTTACTCCCAGAATAATAGCTAGGTGGTGGATCCCTTTCCTGACACGCCCCCCCACAGAATTTGGGGGTGGGGGTGGGGTGGGGGTTTGTGGTGGAACACAACCCCACTTCTCCAGGGCGGGTCAAGCAGGCAGGTGCCCCAGTTCCCTTGGCTGCTGGCGCCATCTGCTGGTCAAGGAGGTCATAGATCCAGATGTCAAGCGTCCAAATATGGATCACGTCACCATTAGGCATGCTGCAATGGTCATAAGTGTGAAAAGTGGCCTTAAGTCACTTTTTTCAGTGCCGTTGTAATGGCCACTGAATGAACCGTTATAAGTTGAGAACTACCTGTACAGGGGAGTCCTCGACTTACGACCACAGTTCTTCCCCAAATTTCCCGCTGCTAAGTGAGGCAGTTGTTAAGTGAGCTTTGCCCTGTTTTTCGACCTTTCTTGCCACGGTTGTTAAGTGAATCACTGCAGTCGTTCAGTTGGTCAAATGGTCATTAAACAAACTGCTGTAAGTCGAGGACTACCTGTACTTATGACCCAGATTTGAAGTTCGAACAGTGTCTCTTCCCCCCCAATCGTCAAATGACTTCACTTCAAGGGCCCAACATTTGCAGTGTTTCACCGTGATGTGCCAAATTTTACTCTACCCGACATTTACTTCCAGTTTTCGACAAAACTGCAGTGTTTGCTTTATGACTGCAGATTCACTTAACAACCATCGGAAAAAAGGCCAGCCTGATCATCACTTTGGAGTCCTATGTAGAAAGTCCATTGTAGGTTTGAAAAGTCAAAATTTTGAACTACAGTTAGTCCTCAAGTTACAACCAGAGTTGTTCAGTTAGTAACACAGTTGTTAAGTGAATCTCATTAACTTTGCTCGTCAAAGGGTCATAAAATGCGATCACATAACCCGAACACACTGCTACCGTCATAAATACAGGTAGTCCTCGACTTATGACCACGATTGTGCCCAAAATTTCTCTTGCTAAGTGAAACTTTTGTTAAGTGAATTTTACAACTTTTTTTTGCCACAGTTCTTAAGTGAATCACTACAGTTTTTAAGTTAGTAACCCAGTCGTTAAGTGAATCCGGCTTCCCCATTAACTATGCTTGTTGGAAGGTCGGAAAAGGGGACTGCGTGACCCGGGACACTGCAACAGTCATAAATATGAGTCAGTTGCCAAGCGTCTGAATTTTGATCAGGCGACCCGGGGTGTGCTGAATTGTAAGTGTGAAAAATGGTCATAAGTCCCTTTTTCCAGTGCCATTGTAACTGAACGGTCACTAAACAAATGGCCATAAGACAAGGACTACCGGTATGTAATTTGGCCTTATTTGATGTGGAAACATTGTTTTGATCATTAATTAAGCTTTCTTTTTTTCTCTTTTCTCTTTTTTTTCAGCTCTCGGAACCAGAGCCTCCCGTGGGCCTCATCCGCTCCCATTCCCCCGTTGTCTCGGTCAAAGAGATCGTCACGGAGATTGAGTCCATCCATCAGGGGGGATCCCAGGGACCCGCCAAGGCAGAGACCGCCAACAACCTGCTCCCAACGCCCAAGAGAACCCCCCTCCACGAGACTCCAGCCGAGGTGACCTGCCCTTTGGACAGCAAGCTCGGGAAGGCTGAGGAGGCAGCGGACGTGGCTGGACCAGTCCCGAAAGAAGCTGTTCGAGAACCATTGAAACCGGAACCCGAAGGGTCTTCGTTGCCCCCAATACTTACTTCTAAGCCAGACATGGAAGGAAGGGGCTCAGCTGAAGACCCCGCAGAAGCTCGAGTCCTCCCTGGGCCCAAATGGTGTCCTGGTTCTGTCCGACGGGCCACTCTGGAATTTGAAGAGCGTCTACGACAGGAGCAGCAAGATTTGCAGCACGTTTCTCCGGTTGCTCTTTTCCCCGTCCGGAAGAATTCCCGGAACGAGTCCGATCCGGGCACAAAGGGCAGGAACGACGATACACCTCAGGAGCTGACCCAGCTCTCGAGAAATAAGGAAGTCTCAAGAACAGGAAGCAGCTCCGAGACGGGGACCATCTCCGAACCACCACTGCCGTCAGAACCTTCCCGTCCACCGGAAGTCCCTACAGAGGTACCAGGCGTGGCCCGTGAACACCGGATGGTGCTTTGGATGGAGGGTGACGAGGGACCTCCTCTGCTCAGCTCCCTACCCAAGAGAATTGAGATCATCGAATACACGCCTGCCTTGCCTGGCACAGAGGGGGTCGAGAAGGGTATCGCGACCCGGACCCTGGAGAAAACCGTGGATGAAAACTGCAACACTGCTTTCTGCTCGGAGACTCCTGGATGCAGCCCGGATTTGTCCGGGACACCAGAACAGGAGGGCGGCCCCTTCAATGAAGCCCTCTTCTCTTGGGGAAGCCCGAAAGAGATGGACAAGGATGAGGGGGAAACTGAGGCACTGTCCAACCCTGCAACCCCCTCTTCTTCGGCCAACCAGGAGAGACACTCCCCTCCACCCTCTTCACATCAAAAGTATCGTCTCGGTCTGGAGGGGGTCACTCAGGACAGCACAAGCACCGAGCCTGAGCCGGCTCCCTCGCGGGGCTACGCTGGAAACGGGCACTTCTCCCTGGAGGAGAGGGGAAGGGGCTTCCTGCCCTGGACACGCTGGACCCCCAATCTAGGAAAAAATCCTCTGGACGTCCCCTCGGCCCGTCCTCTTCGCTGCTCTCTCCCTCGCCGTTCCAGCTGCGACGGCTGCGCCAAAGACAGCGGCCAGGGGACAGGCCTGGTCAAGCAGCTGGCGAAAGAACTGGAATCCCGCCTCCGGCAAGCCGGACTCACCGCACCATCTCAAATGAAACGCTCAGCGTCTTTAGCCAAACTGGACTGTCTGGGCTCGCTGAAGGACGACTTGCCCCGCAGCTGCTGCCTACCCACTGGTGCCAGACCCGTCTCGCCGGAATCTCTCCGGATCCCCACGCCAGATCCGGCCATCTCCTCTCTGACCCTCCTGTCTCCCGAACCCACCAGGCATTTGGTGGAACCGGTCAAGCTGTGGGAATGCCTGGCCCTGAGCCGGCCGGTGGAACGGCCCCTGGCTCAGTTCGCCCAAGACTTCACCCCGACCTGTGGCCCCCCGGAAGGAACGTGGACTTGGGGCCACGGCCTGGTGCAGCCGGCCACGCACGCTCGAAATCCCCCCGCCAGAACTCGGCTGCCCAGGAGGTTAAAAAAATCCAACGAGCGGAAACGAACCACCAACCCCATCTATAATACGATGTGATCCCTGCCTCGGTTTCCCTCCCTTCTCTTCCCTCTTTCTCCTTCCTCCCTCCTTCAAATTTTTCACAATCCCTCGCAGATGTAATATATACCGAAACATGCACTTTATTAGTTAGGTTGTTGGTTTTTTTTTATATATATATATATATCTATATATATCTGTTCTTTTATTTGTATGGTTCCTCCATTTTTGCATGTACATTTTCAAGGCGGATGAAATTCGAGTTTAAAAAAAAAAACAAACCACCAACCTCCATTCGTGCGAGTGACTGCGAGATGATGACCCCGTGGCGTTTTTTTTTTTGCGTGTTGTTTTATTCCGTTTTTGTTTTTCATTGGGGGGTGGTTGTCGTTTTTTTTTCTATGAAAAGATTTTACCTCTATTTCTTTTTTTTTTTCAGCTTTGTCTTAAAAAAGCACCCTTCTTTTGCAAAACGAGAGGCCGTCCGTTTTATTTGTCCGCCATCCGAGTCATGCCGTTGTAGGGTTGGGGAGCAAAGCCCCGCTCTGCTAATTGGGGGAGGGGGCTCACAAGAGGCACCCCCTCCCCAAGTCTCACCTCCTGGAATCCCTGGATCCAAACAGCTCTGAAGCTTGTATTTCTCTCTGCTCGCCCCCCACCCCAAGCTGTCCAGTAGAAGCCACAATATTGTCGCGCACACAGCAGGACAGTATTGTGCCCGTAGTGCCACTTAACAACACAACGCTGCCCCTCTGTGGACCCCCAAAAGACCCATCCTGATGCATTTGAGTAGGGGGTGCAACACCCACCCACCCCCAGGGCTGTCGGCTGGAGAGGGCAATCCTCCGAGCCTTGCCCCCCGATTTTCTCCCCTCCTTCTCCACGCAGCCACCCAGCCTCGGTGCCCCTTCCTTTAGAAACATCTGCCCACTTTTGCAGCTGGCAGGGCAGGGTCTGCCTGTCCCCTGTGCGCCCACCCACCCAAAGGCCTCTACAATAGAGCGGGCATTCCGGAGCTTTGCCCCACTGCGTTAGGGCAGTGAACGTAACCTGTGTTAGGGTGTTAGGGCAGGGAACGCAGCACACATACGCAAGCACAACCTCTCTTTAACTCCCCAAGAAACCCCTTCCCTTTTTGAGCGGCAAAAATAAAGGGGGGGATTTAAAAATTGGGCTTTTTTAAAAAAATATTTAATTTTATTTTCCGGAACGGGTGTTCTTTTAAGGCAGGCGCTGAAAAAGGGATTTGACCTTCCGGTTACTTGAATAAAAACAGTGGGCCTTTTCAAAACTCGCCCGCCATCTCTGTTTCCTTTTTCTCTCCACTGTGCAAAGTGGGGGGAGGTGTTATGGGTCATGGGGGGGAGGGTCTCTCCTTGCCTTCCTGCCCCCTCCCCTCCCCCCCCGAATCCCCGTCAAGCCACTTCGATAAGAGTCCAGAAATGAATGAATTACGGTTAAGGGATGCACCCGGCTTGTCCTGTCCCTCTTCTCCCAGCTTCGTGTCACCAAAACGGGGGGGGGGAGGGAGAAATATTGTGTGTGTTTGTGTGTTTGTGCTTCTGTACATAATAGGACTTGTTATAAACGGAGGGGGGAGATTTTTGTCCTGCCCCCCCCCCCACCTGTTTGCTCTACGTCGAAAAACTTAACATCTCTTCTGTAAACTGGAAAACCCGTTTCTCACCCACCCACCCCCAACCCCATTTAACCGAATTGTCTCCCGTTATTTGCACAACCCTTTGGGATCAGGCTGAACTGTTCGAACTTCTCTTCTCTCGGATCGTTACCGACTGCTTTGTCTTGTTTTTTTAAAAAAAGATATTTGAAAAGTAGAAGTTTCTTTCTTTTTCTTTTTCTTTCTTTCTTTCTTTTCTTTTTTTTTGCCAACCGGTGCCAAAACGCATGTGAGGTGTGTCTTTTTTTTTTTAATGTCTCTCTCTTTTTTTTTGCTTTTTCATCGACCCCGTTGTGTGTTCCCTGTCTCGTGTCGGTTCCCTCCGAAAAGCCTCGCCTTCCCTGGTGTTCTTTGTGGACGGGTGTGCGTGTGATGTGGTCCCTTCCTTTTCTTTTTTTTCTTTTCTTTTCTTTTTTTCTGGAAATCAGGGTGTTCTAAAGCAGGGGTCTCCAACCTTGGCAACTTTATGACTCGTGGACTTCAACTCCCAGAATTCCTCAGCCAGTCCACGAGTCATAAAGTTGCCAAGGTTGGAGACCCCTGTTCTAAAGTGTGTGTCAGTAACACTTCCAGTGGTGTGAAGTGTATTAATGCACTGAATGGTTCCTCCTTCTTCACCGCAGCCCGAAGGGGTAAAAAAAAATCTGGATTTTTACAAACTTGGCGGGCAAGGAGAGTCAGTCGGTCGGTCCCTGTTGTTTCATTTTTTTAAAAAAATATATCGTGTATTTCTTAGAAGGCCAAGAAACTACTTCCAGGGGATCTGTATTTTCTGCGTTATGCATTTTTTTTTATTATTATTCTCTTCCTGGGCTCTGTAAATCTTTAGACCAGTTCAGGACCAAAAACTTGAGGCCCAGAAAGAGATTCGAGGAGCATCTGGGGGGGATTGCACCCCAAAACTGTATGGGAAAAGGGGCTCCCAGCTCTTCTTCTCTTGGGGCTTATGATAGGTTTAAGCAGGGCACTTGAAATGCTCCATCGACTTCCCAGATCGGGAGGGTGCCCCTCGGTTGGAAGGTTTCGGGGTCCGTACCCCCTTTTCATAAAGGTCTCTGACTCCTGAGTCTTAACTTGAATGATGTGCAGATCGTTGTAGCTCAGTTTGGACAGGTTTTGGGGGTAGTGTAGAGAGGATGTCCAGAGTTAGTTTTGGCAGAAGTACCCCCTTTTCCCCCAAAAAAAAACCCAGCTAGATGCCTACACCCCTTAATTGTAAGGAGGGGGCTACTCTGTGCCTGGAATGGGACAACTTGCCGCGGCCTTCTTGCCACACGGCCAACCTGGCATAACCGTCTCGCTGCAGCCAACTTGCCGCGAGAGATAATTCCACGCGGGATAACTCAATGCGATACAGGTTACCCACCACTGTTTCTTCGACCTGACATCGACAAAAATAAATGTCGAAGAAACGGTGGAGGATAACATCGCGTTGAGTTATCCTGCCTGAAATTGTCTCGCGGCAACTTGGCTGTGGCGAATTGTCCTAGACCCTTCTGTGACTACCTCCAGCCCAGCTGACCACTGGGGTGGAGGCAGGGGTAGTATTCACTTACTTTCCCTACCGGTTCACAAGTGCGCACGCGCCGCAAATATCCGTGCGTGCGCTTTGCTGGCGCGTGCGCCTTCCGCACAGGCGCTTGGCCTAAATAGGATGGCATAGAGCTGGAGCGGTTGAGTGGAACCACCTGCGATTTCCGCTACCGGTTCGGGCGAACCGGTCCAAACCGGCTGATTACCACCTCTGAGCGGAGAGTTTTAAATGAAAACCCCCAGCATAATCCATCGTCCTCGTTGCTTTTGGGTGCGTCAAAAATCCAACATTGACTGGAGAAATTCCCCCTCCTCGGAGCAGAGACGAATTCAGGAATTCTTCTCCGACCCAGAAATTCCTCTCCGATCGGTGGTTGTGCTGGAGACTTTTTCCGGGCTGCTTAAGAATTAATACTTGATTTTTCTGCGTCCTTCTTCAAAAAGGAAGGCATTAATTGGATCTCGAGGAGTGGGGGTCTCCCCATCGGATCCGAGTAGCTCCCAGCTTTTTTCTCGCACTGATTCCAAAAGACGGGGGGCCCTTCTGATGTCCGAATCTCTCCCTATCCTATAGTTTCGTTTTTATTTTATGCTCTCGGCGGCCCCTTTCTTCCCTGCAGGCGGTGAATTTAAAATCGCACCATCCGGGGGGTTATTTCAGTGTATTTTACCCAAGAATGAGAATTGGTGGGTCTGTCTTTTGGGGTGGGAGGGGCAGGAGCCCCAAATTATTCACCTCCATTTCTTAAGCCATCATCAGGGTCTCTTCTGGAAGCAAAACGTGTGCCTTGCAGCTCCTTGGAGGGGGTTCTCTCTCTCTCTCTTTTGGGGGAGGGAAGCACCCTCCTTCCTCTCTGCTCTCTTTCAATTGCACCCCCGGACTCTGCTCGTCCCAGGCATCCAAAGTCTGCAGTCTTGGGGAGACCGCTTCCTTCCCCCCCCCCTTTTTTTCTCACAATCTTTAAAACCAAGAGGTCTGGAAAAGCTTTGTGCGTTTGGTAAACTCTTTGTTACTGGCTCGCTTGCCGCTTTTCGTTATGTCGATTGATGAAAAACTCATGCTGATCAGAAGCATTGCTGGGGGGGGGGGGTCTTTTGGGGGGGGTGTTTTCCCCTTCTGGTCTTCTGTCCTGGCTCCTCTCTTTGCATTCAGAAGGTATGCAGATTTGGGCGGGGGCATCCCCTCCCTCCAGTGGTCCCCATTTCCTTGCCTCCCCCCCAACCCTCAATTTTTACGTTGTACTGTCAATCTTGTAGAGTCTTGCAGGGGAGCTGGGGGGGGGCAAAATGGATGCTTACGGGACCCACCCACCCCCCCGGCATGTGAGTGAGCTCCATCTGTACTGAAAGTGTGAATGGTGATAACTTAATGAGTCCAGCAGCATTTCTCAAACTTTGGTTCCTTTAAGGGGCGTGGTGGACTTCAACTCCCAGAATTCCCTTGGCTTGGGGGAATTATGGGAGTTGAAGTCCACACCTCTTAAAGGGACCAAGGTTGAGAAATGCTACGACTCAACTTCTCTTGAGCGTTGTTGCTACATTTCTAGCTGTGTTAACCACAGCCCGTTGTGTGTCCCCCCCCACAACAGCTGAGCATCCTCAGCCTTTCAACGCCACCCAAGGGTATTGGGGTGGGTGGGCTTTGCCGTTTCCCCCCCAAAACAGGTGCCCGAAATCGTAACCCTGTGTCCATCTTCCTCTCGATTCTCAACAGCCACTCGGACACCTATCCAGACCAAAAATGACCCCCTTAAACGGGCAGGAAAGGAAGCGTACCACTCCGCCCTGCCATGTTTCCTCCCCCTCCCCGGTGTTTGGGGGTATTGGGGGGGGTCTCTCTCATCTGGGCTGTTTGTGTGGCGCATCTCATCCAGGAAGAATTCATTTTGCAAAGGCTCCCTGGCACAGGAGTGCCAGTTGGCAGGGAGGGGTCCATCCATCTTTTGGAATCGGGGGTGAGCAAGCTGTGGTCTTCTCCAAGTGGGGATTTGCGGGATGCATCCTGGCCATCTGAAAATTGGGGGGGGGGGGGGTGTCTCTATCTACCACGTGCCCCTGCTCACATGGGGTGGGGTGGGGTCTCTCCAGCAAGTTCAGGACTGGGAAAGCGGGGGGAAAAAACCATGTTCATCCCCCGCTTTTTCCTTTTTCCTTTCCATCCTGTCTTCTCCCCTGCCATCCATGGGGCTCCCTGACTCTCCCAGGGACTTCTAAGATAGACTGCCCGGACACAAGGATGCTCGGCTGTTTTTAAATGTGAACTCCCACCCTTGACGGGGGCTGACTCGATGTTCTTGTTACTGAATAAATTTTTATTTTGAGAACTGGAAGCCTCTTGTCGTCAGTGGGGCAGGGATCGAGGGGGGGGGGGAAGAGAAGCCTTGGAGGTCTCCCAAACCTTCCCGGCCTTGATTACAGCTAATCCTCGACTTACAACCATTCGCTTATTCACTTAACAACTGCAGTGACTCCTTTAACAGTAGTGGCAAGAAAGATCATTAAATGGGACAAAATTCAATTAATTCTTTTAGCAATGGAAATTTTGGACTCTGTTACAGTTGTAAGTTGAGGACTAGAGGTGGTATTCAGCCGGTTCGTACTGGTTCAGACGACCCACTAGTCCCGGCTCTATGATGTCCTATGGGTCTCCTGCCCCCATCCTAAACCGTAATCTGGGTCCATCTGTGTCCTTGTAGGTTGCAGTTTTGTGTCACCCAGAAGCCGTTAACGCTGGTATTGTATTTACCTGGAAATATCAGGCAGACAAGAAAATGTCTCACTTAAGATCATTTGCCTTCAGATGGGAGGACTTCAACTCCCAGAATGCTACGCTGGCTCGGGAATTCTGGAGGATGAAGTCCACCCAGGGACATAAATTCAGGTAGTCCTCAATTTACGATCACAGTTGGGACTGTTAACTTCCATCACTAAGCAATGCAGTTGTTAAGAAGTCAGTCATGCCTGATTTTACGAAATTTTTTTGACACGGCTGTTAAGCATATCATTGTGGTTGTTAAGTGAATCACGCAGGCATTAAGCGAATCCAACTCCCCCCATTGACTCTGCATGTGGAAAGCCACCCG